GTCAAATTATTATGCATGCGAGTAAAATCCAATGTCTCAGCCCTAGAAGTCATGATTTATAATGCTTATTATTTAGTCTTACGTGATTTTGTAAGATGAGCAAGTTTATTCGGTGATCTAGTGTCCGTTCGAGCCTTATCGGCCCTACCGAACCAAGTTATAGTCCAGCCGAGTTGCCCTAGTGTTTCTTGGCATAATTTTTTTACGTGTTTTACATCATGTTATGTTGGATGAGTTTGGTTGTAACGCCCCGGATTAGTAATAATATTAAGAACGGTTTCACTGCTCGACTCTAAGTGAAATCCGTGTTTTTCAGAAATATCCAAGTTATGTTTTATATGCTAAATGCTCGATTATGTTAGATTATTCTTTACAATTTTCTTCATCATGTTAAGGCCAAGATAAATCCATTAACTTGGGTTGATAAGTGTTATCTAGTCGACTTGAGAATTTTAGCCTCGAACCCTAGTCTTGTTCCGAGTATATTTTTCCAAGTTAGGGCCGAACTTTTGGGTTGATACTTAGAATAATTTTTCTAAGTGTATTGATGTGCTAAGTCAAGCCCTAGACCCTCGTTCTCGAGCCTAGCATTCACCGAGCCGCTCGAGCCAAGGCCGCACCCGTTCTGAGCCTTCTCACGCCCGAGGTCTGAGCCGAGGCCCAAGGCCGTGTCCAATCCATGGACAAACATTAGATAATTTTTCTAAGTATTTTTGATCTCAAGAGGGAGCTATGTACTCAGCCCAAGTCATTTCACTCAAGCAGCCCCGAAGACCCGCGCAGCCCAAGCCTTCCCCGCGCCCAGCTCGCGCCAGCCCAGCAGACCGCGCCCAGCAGGCCCGCGCCAGCATGTGCAACCCATCATTTTGAGCCCAATGTACATTAATTCGGCACAATTCCTTCATGACCCAAGACATACATGTATTAAGGACTTAATGAGGATCATTTTAAGCTTAGATTGCCCTAAGCAATGTTTAAGGAAGTCAACCTATGATTAGCACTAAGTGGAGTGATGGGCATTTGATTATTTTATTCACATGTGTAGAGTTTGTCCCCCATTGCTTGGTGCTTTGACCAAGACCCGACCAGAACTGTTTTTCCTCAGCCTAATGCTCTGCAAACTCCACCAAGAAGCTCTCCAAAACGTGAAAAGACAAGTCCCAAAACCAGCCCTAAGTTCCATGCACCTAAGTGGAGGAATCCCACTCATTTTGGTCTCCCATGACCACACATTGTTAACTCCGCCCTTTACACTACTTAAGCATCCTTCCTCAATTTGTTTTAAGCTCTTACTCACCTGTTAGCTCGAGCACTTGGTGAAGATTTAAGAGAAAATTCGAGAGGCAGCCCCTTGGCCCTATCGCGCGCGCGCCTAGCCCGGGTGAAGGAGGACCGAGGCTCCAGCCATTTCCTACGAGTTTCTCACGAGGCTTATCATCTTCTAAGTACTTCTTAGAATTTTATGTGTCTTTTGAACTCACCAAGCTCAGCCATTCAACCCCAAGTCGAGCCCAACACCCTCAAAGCCACGCCTAGCCCTAGCCAAGGCCCTAGTAGCCATTCTCCACTTTCGGTGAAGGTTAGCCCGAGACATCTCTTTTCCATAACTATTTTATGATAATTTAAGAATTATCATGAAGAAAAACCAAGCCATGCATGTCATTATCTATGAGTTTCGATTTTTAGGATTTAAATGCCTTAATATCGAATTTTAAGTTGCATGCATGCCTAAGCCGAGTTTGATAGCTCAATGTGCCTTATAAATCATGAGAATGATAGTGTATAAATTTATGCCATTTTGCACCCCCGAGCCTTAACTTTATGCATGCGAGAATATGCTATCATTTCAGCCTCATTAGTCATGATTTATTATGATAAGTATTCGGCCTTGATCATTTGAGTATGTTTGAGAAGTTGGTTCGGTGAGTTAGTGTTCGTACGTGCCAATTAGGCCCTACCGAACCACATGCATGTTGACCCGGGGTCTCCTAGTGCTTCTATGAATATTTATGCCTTTTATGTCATGTTGAATTGATATGTGTTGCATGTCACCGAAAAAGTTGCAGGATGGCCGGCAAGGGCCGGCCATGGTCACTGGCCGCGCATGCAGCGCGGCAGTGCCCGACCCTGTGTTTGCCCGCGATCTTCAGAGGCTAAGTTGCCTTGTCCGCACCAGACCCCGTGCCTCAGAGGCTAAGTGTGTCCGTGGCCGTGCCCGCGCTGCAGCACCCCAATACTTAGGGCCAATTTTTCGCAAATTCTAACTTTCGAAAACGCTTATAAATTTTTCGAAATCGTTTGCAAACTATCTCGGGATGTTGCTAAAAACTTTTCTGCTTTAAAAATCCGTCTTCTTTAACTGGTCTATCTACTGGTTTAGACTTAAAGAAAATCAGATTAAATGTTTTATCGAATCGAGCATGTGAAACTAGACCCGTTCGTGCTGGCGAACCGGGTAAAAACGTTTAAGTCTGAAATACTGTCATGCAAGCTTGAAATAAAACACACATAGCGGAAGTCTGAAAATACGTGGTAATATTAGTTATACAAAACATGATAACAAATGTCCCTGGAACGGCTCGCTGTGCCGAATCCACGACCACAACCACCACAGCTGGACTCACGCCTGCCCGCCGACCCTGCCATCTAAAAATATAAAGTGGGGGTGAGTAAAGTCAACTTGTACTCCATAAAAACCCGTTCAAAGGTAAACAACAATAATAATAATGATATCACAGAACTGGTATATATAAGTAAACTGAAATCTCCCAGAACACTATGGCTGGTAACTCCCTGACTCTCTGGCCGGTAACCGTGTGCACACTCTGATGGTATAATTATGGCGAACTGGGCCACCACCAGAACTTAGGAAAGGCAAACTTGGCCTTAACCCCAAGCGGATAAAACTCATATACATACCTGAACGTGATATCGACTATTATACTCAATGTATAACCCAGACTGGGTCCCCACCTGATCTGCTTTGAAAATATGTAAGTGCGGCTGTGCTGGTAGCTGACTCCTCAAGCTACATAAAAATATAAGCAAACAAATATACTAAGTACTATGCTCGTCATATGCTCAATAATATGCTAAGATGCTCTACTCTATCAGATTACTCATCCGGATAAAAAGGAACGCTGTATGGGTTCGCTAAAATAATTCTAAGTTCGAAAATTGGACTGACATGCCCAACTCATCTGGTTTGGCTCGGAAAAATTACTAAAATTTCGGAATATGACTCGGACCAAAAATCACGAACCAAAACTGACTCGAACCGCCGGTTAAACCGGCCGGTTCGCTCACTAACTGAACCGGGTCGGGCTGAACCGGACCGGGTTGGACCGCCGGTTCACTCTGCACGGGCTGCTCGGATTGGCCGGGCTCGGTCCCACGTTGGGCCGGCTGGGGCCCTGGCACGGCATTAGGCATGAGCTGGGTGCGACCGGGCCTTGGTACTAGGCGCTACTGGGCGCAGGGAGGTGCAGCTGGCACAAGCCCTGGCACAACTGGTGCCACTAGGTGCTGCTGGGCACGACCATGGGTGATTGAGTGCTCTGGTGCGCTGCTGGCGCGAGCACGGGCACGACTGGTGCCACTTGGGTGTGACTGGACACTACCGAGGCTGTCTAAGGCTCTGGCGTGCTACTGAGCACGGCCGGACTCGGGTCTGGCACAACTGGTATGGACAGACACTACACGCGCGAGCTCTGGCGCGGCTGGGGCTGTTAGGGTGCTGCCGGGCAACCCGGGGCACGCGGACGTGCTGCTGGGCACGTCCTGGGGCCAACTGGACCTAAAGAACACGACTAGGGTTCACTGGGCACGGTACTAGGTGCTAGGGCGTGCGGCTGGCACGACCCAAGGCTTACACCGCGCAGCACGAGCGACTGGCTCGAAGCCACGCGTGCATTGACGTTGGACAGCACGGCCGAGCGCTGTCGGAGGTGCTTGGGCGCGACTGGCGCCAAGACCTCGCTCACTGGCACGGACAGGCGCTGCTGGGCGCTGTCGCGTGCGCTAGGGGATGTGGTGCCTTGCGTGTGCTAGACGCTGGCACGGACAGAGGCACTGCCTGGCCTCTGCGACGCGGCACGGGCACGGCACGCGCGACTGGCGCGGCTGGTGACCCTAGCCGGTCCTTGCCGGTCTTCCGGCCACTATTTCCGGTGACTACTGAACCAACCCAACATATTATGACATAATACACATAAAAATGCCATAAGTCACTGAGAGACCTCGGTTGGATATGGAGGTGGGCTTATAGGGCGTACACGGCTCGTGGCCACACTAGGTCACCGAAATGAACTTGCTAAACATATAAATTTTAGATACCTATCAAGTAAGTTTGCATTGGACTAATATGATTTCATCGTTTTGTCTTTTGTTTTTTCCCGTCGCTATTTGGACTATAAGATGTATTCGAGTTCGCAGAGCCACTTTCGAACTAAAATTACAATTTTTGCAACAAATATCTTATTTTCAGTGTGAAAATTTTAAATTGAATACAGAATGTTGAATCATTGTATAAAATACGAGATAAAACGTGATTTTTTTTTTTTTTTTTACAAAATGGACTTTTCAGTATAAAAATATCAGATTGAACACAAAAAACACCAATCTGGGTATAAAAGTCGAATTAAAATAAGTAATTTTTGAACATAAAACACATTTTCTATGTGAAGGAACCAGTGTTTAGTCATAGTCAGTTGTATGCTGTTGTCTCCCTTGTCATTAAGTGAAATGGTTTGAAAATTTTAATTTGTGGCGACGAACGTGCCAAAAAATCAAAGTATGAATGTTGTATAAAAGGAAGTGTTCAATAATATATATATTTTATTTTCATTATATTCAGTAATTTCACGATCATTCTTTAATTATATGATTTGAATTTGAATACATTATTGTCTTTTAAAATGATGGAAATTATAAAGCCCCGTTCATCTGTACTAGTATATAAATATATATAGATATACAAATTTTGGTGGTGTCGGGCTAGGCTCGCCCAATGGCCCAACCCACAGGCCGAGGTGGTATAAGAACCGAGTTGGCTTAAGTCGGCCGCAGCCCGCAGGCACCACTTAAAAGGCGGTCTGTGGCTCGGCTCCCCGGTTTTCACATCCCTATCTCTTTGTTTGAAAGTTGAAACCCCAAACTCTCATTTTGTCTTTCCACTTTCACTCCGAAACCCGCCGCCGCTGCCACCTCGCGGTAACGCACTCAATAACCTGCCGCGCCTCTTCTCTTGCTCACAGGAAAGATCAACGTTTTCACTAAATTCTTTTTGAGGTGCTTTTTTTATTTTACTTCTCTATTTTTTACTTTGTATTAGTCGTTTTTCGTTCGTTTTACAAGTTTGTGACATTAAGGTGAGAATTTGTAGTTTTGGAGGTTGTGTTTGTAGCTTGTGAGACGAATAATCATGGGCAGAAAAGGAGGGAAATACAGGAAGAAGGAAAACGTCAAGAACAAGTCGGTTGAGCTTGGTTCTGATGACGACGACATGATGAACGATGAAGTCGATGCCTGTATGTCAATATTTGCTCTCAAGAGTGTGAAGCTTTACAGATTTTGCTTCTGTTTTGGTGTGTCCGTAGATAGTTATTAGTTATTATATTTTTCTTTTCGTTGTATCTATTTTTGTAGTTCACAAGAATAGAGATGTTTTGCCTCTGAAGATAAGTGGTGATGTGGAAGAGTCTGATGAAGATAATGAGCAGCCAGTTTTTGATTTTGAGGTTTGGACTTGTTTGTTTCTATGTCTCTTTCCATCTTTTTGCTTTGCACCAAAAAAAAAAAAATGATCTTTTGAATTGTAGTTATTTGACGTGTTGAGTCTCACATGAATTCCTATGGTTTATCATTATGGAACCATCCATTTTATTTTTCATTTTTTTATGTTTTTCTTATGAAGTACATTTATAACTAAGATTTGAAGAACTGACAGGTGTTTTTTTATTTTCGGTTTAAAATGTGATATATTTGGCGCTTTACCTGTAAAAGTAATAGTATGGTAGACTATAATGCTGTTTAATAATTACTTGGTCATTTAATTTCTCCCCCTTTTTTGTGTGCGTGTGTGTATTTTGTGAATCATTTGTCCAATTATGACGACGATGATGCGAATGATTTATCTTGCTCACTGATTGTACAATAATTTGTAATGGCAAGGATGAGGATGATGAAGATGATGACACTGATAATGAGGATAAGCCACCAAAGGGCCGGACAGCCCAAAGTAAGATATAACTTGCTTTGTTTGTGAAATTCTCTGAACACGCTTTCTACTGTTGTTATCCCACATTTTTTTGTCATCCACTTTCATTTTGTCTATTTGTAATCACAACTAATAATAACGCGGTTGGTTGTTGACCTTATTAATCTTCGCTGGTTATGCTCTTTTAATATGAAGTATGGTTTTGCAAGTGATAAGTGGTTAGCTTTCGTGAAAATTTTGCTACACGTGAGATTGATACGTACTTATTGATTTTATAACTACAAGTCTTCCACTCTATAATACAAGATGCTGAGGATTGTAATTTAGAAATGCTGTAGTATTTGAATCTGAAATGCCTCCTAACTTTTCGTCTAGTTATGAAATTTGTTATAGTAGTCTCGAGAGTGTCTCCAGGACAGTACTGAGTGTGCATGACTGTGATGCTTGCATAGAAATGCTCAAAATCAAAAGTAGCCGGCATTCCTATTTGATATACTTTTTGACTGGGTTTTAAATTTCTCTCTGTATGATGAGTCAGTCTTTCCTGGTTCATCTTTATGCATAATGGTTTGTAGGTTAATGAGATTCTTTGTCTGATATTTGTAGTTTTAAGGACACAAAAGTATTTGCGGGCTAAGTTTGGTGGGCCTGCGGATGAACTGCTTGATGATGCTGATGAGGAAGATCAAGAAAGAGTTGTTTGGCGCCGCAAAAAAGATATGTATGGTGCTGATGTAAGTTTCCTAAGGCCTGCTCTTAAACCAGACATGGTTTTCTATAGAAAATACAGACAAATTGTTATATATATATAACAGTAGAAAGCGTGTTTTCATTGAACTGTTATGTATGGTGATTCATTGGAAATATTGCTCTGTATGCGTGGGAAGACTGAAGAATCTGAATGCTCAGCTCTGAAGCACATGTAGGTTATGCATTATAATGGCTTGGGATGGTTGCTTTAGTGGCGTAACTCCTCTCAAATGCTATCAATTGTTATATAACTTTCTTTTCTTCTAAATCCTATTATTGTCCTGGATTGTTTGGAAATTGTTGACCACTTTTACTACTCGTGGAGTGAATTTGCACAAATTGCTGAAACACTAGATGAGGCTTCATCTGTTTTGCCAATTGGCATTGGTATTTTTACTCGGTGAATTTTCCTGAAACACCAATATATATTCTTGATATTTAGCCTCGTGACATTTTTTATTTTTTATTTTTCGTATTGCAATAATAAATTAAGTACAAATGCGATGACTTCTTGTAACACTTATTTTATTTTTAATCTTCAGCCTCAATCAAGTGATGATGAAGATGCTGTTGAGGAAGAGGCAGAGGTTTTAAAATTGCAAAGGGAGAAAGCAAAAATTCTATCAGTGGAGGATTTTGGTCTTGAAGATGCTAGTCAAGATGAGATTGATCAGGAGCCCACATTTGAGGTTTAAAACAAGATTATGCCAATAATGACTTTTTATTATGACAAGTTCCACTGATAGTCATGTTACATATGATATGCTTGGGGTTTGAAAACTCTGTTTACTCCATTATTTTCTGCGCAATTTAGGAAATCTTGGATCACGGGAAATCGAAAACAGAAGTTCCTCTTAACAGAGAAATCAAAGAAGATGGATCAACATATGAGATTGTCAAGAAAGATTTAAGTGCACTAACTAAGGAAGAGCAAATGGACATTGTGTACAGGTCATTATGCTTTCTGGCACGATATTCCTCTTTGAGTTTTCTTTACATGTAAATTGTGAACTTAGAATATCCAACCGAGGTGATTGAGTTGCTTCTAGTGACCAGCTTTTATTGACATTAAAGGAAGATGCTTCTCTTATTAATTCCTAGATAAACTGTGAAAATTGCATCAGTTTTTCGGTTATGTTACTTCTACTTGGGAAAAAAGAAATATGCAATTTCCTATCCGAAGGGTTGGCAAGTTTGTTTTTCATTTTGTACTTCAGATGGCATCAAACTAGTGGTGGCTGCCTTGTGCTGTCACTGGCTTTGATATTTGAAAATATTTGTGTCCTCTTATGTACCGAATTAAATTTTATATCTGCTGCCTTTGATTTATTTTATTTGCATCTTGATGCTTCTCAAGTGCTATCCTGATGACTGGTTTTACAGCTCTGCTCCCGAATTAATTGGCCTTTTGTCCGAGTTCAATGATGCTGTTGATCAACTAGAGAACAAAATTACTCCCCTTGTTGACAAGGTTTGTTTAAAATAATTTTGCTACAAATCTTTATTGTTTTGAATTGGGCGTGCACGAGGAACACACACAAACAAACATAACTTCCAAGACCACCTAAATTTGTTAGATTTCTGTTTTATGTTGAAAAGATATTTACTAGAAGGAATGAGAAATATATAATATGAATAAGTTCGTATCGTAGAAGTTAATTATCAAAGCAGTCGGTCATTTTGTATTACTGATTGGTGACTCTCAGATTGTCCATATATCAGGCTTAACTAAATGAACTTTGTTCTTTGGGTTGGTGTTTAGTGCGTATTATATTTATATTTGCTATATCGTTGAAGGTTCGAGGTCGACAGACTGCGAAGAAAGGAGATATGCACTATCTCGAGGTAAAGCAGCTTCTATTGCAATCCTTTTGCCAGGCTATAACATTCTATCTTCTTCTCAAGTCTGAGGGGCACCCAGTCCGTGATCATCCAGTTATTTCTCGTCTAGTGGAGATCAAGAGTTTATTGGATAAGGTTATTGCTTCTCATTGCTTGTTGAAGTTGGGACTTATGATACTGCTATTTTATCAAGAAACTACCAATATATATACTTTTTGTACTGAATAGTACTCTGAAACATGCAAGTGGAAGTAATTTGATTTTTCTATTTTTGGTCTACATGTTTTCTTTTAAGTGTGTGCTGAGAGCAAAAAGTTGTATAGTTTATTTAATTCTCCTAACTGATGTGTTTTGAGGTTAACATTTTTTAGCACAACAATTAAATTAAAGTAATTAGATTTAGGTAAACAAATTAGATTGAAACTGTTTTTTTTTTGTTTTTTTATTTTTTATTTTTTATTTTTTTTTTCCAAAATTAGAATGCCACTTAAATGATACTCTTTTATTCAATCACAGCCCATGTAATCTGTTCATCTAGTCACCACTTGTTCCAGGCTTAGTTTTCTTAACATCGCATCACATATTAGGCACTGAGAGTCATTGTGTTTTTCTTAGCAAATTTTTGTACGTATGCTCTGACGAAGGGATCTTGTTACTAAACGTGCATTATGTAGGACAATTTATAAAGTGTTGATTGATCTTTTTTAAATGGCTAAAACATGCTGACTTTCCTTTTTTGCCATCCCTGGCAGGTAAAAGAAATGGATGGGAAGCTTACTTTTGATGTGGAAAGCTTCATGAACAATGATGTGGATAACACTACATTTATGAATTCAGTTGAACAGAATGGTGTATCAGGAAATGATTCGTCTCGGAATGAAGCATTGGTTGAGGTAGGTACAGCTTAGATGTTTTGCATTCAATTGTACATGGGTTAAATCTTTCTCTCTGACTTGCCACATTTGTTATTCCAAGCAAATCTGATCCTCTTATTTCCTTCGTTGTCTTGCATAGCCTGTCAAATCAGCTGATTTGGATATCTCCAAGGCTTCGAACAATACCAAGGCACAAGGGAAGCATGAAGTAAGCTTTTTTTTTTTTCTTAATCATTTGTGACCATCTTATTTTTCCGTAATCATGGATCCGCTTTTCTATATTGTTTTTTTCATCTTTTTCTCTGTATATGGCTTATATAGCTTGGTGTGTTTAAATTAATGGCAGGATAAACAAGTCGGGTTGCAGAGCATTGAAATGCTAAAGATTAGGGCTTCCCTTGAGGAAAAATTGAAACAGAGAGGTGTATTTAGTTCCACTGCGCACAAGAATGGTGGAAATGCAAAACATGTCCAGTCAGTGAATAGGTTTCTCCTTTTCCCCATGCAGTTGTATATTCCTCTTGTATTTCTTGCGTTAATCAATTCCATGATGTTGTACTTAATTAACTGAATCATTGAAAACTGTGTTTGAAGACAACTTGAGACTTTGGATGATTTTGTTGATGAAGCCATGCAAATAGATGGGTCGACAAATGGAAATCCTGGCAAACTGACTACACGTCCAAATAAACGCAAGGTATGTATGGAGTCTCAACCTTTATCAGAAGATATAAATCATATTTCCTTTTTTATTTCGACATGTTGCCAAAAAATTACATGTAAGCAATTTTTGGAATGTGTGTGTGTGTGTTTGGGTTTGGGTTTCGCTGATTGTGACTAAGTTGTACGTACTTGAAGGTTATCTCTGGTGATGATGATATACCGAAAAGGGATGACATTGGGGAAAGGCGAAGGAAGCATGAATTACGTGTTCTTGCAGGAGCCGGAATTGGGTCGGTCGATGAGGAGACAACTAATAATATCTCCAGTGACGAAATTGCAGGTGTTAGTGAAGAAAGTGATGATGACTCGGATTTGGAATATTACAAGAAAGTGGAGCGGGAACACGCTGCAAAGGTTGCTGCAAAATCCGAAAAGTATTCTAGGTATGGTATTGTTTAAGGTTTTGATGACGACTCATTTGTATTACTGCTTGCTGAATAATTGCAGATTCCTTGTACCCTTTGATAATATTGAGCCTGTTTCCGTTTTGCATCTAGCATATTTATCGTTTGTTGGCCAAACAAAATTTCTACAGGCCCAAAATGGAAGTTCCATCTTTGCCGGACACAATTGATGGAAAGCGCAACATTACGCATCAGGTTTGGGAAAGTCTAGTTAGCTACCTGTTCTGCTCTTTTTCACAGGATTTATTTATTTAATTTTGGCTACTCACTTTATCTCTGGCTGGTTGGTTTAATTTTTCCTTAGATGGATAAGAATAGAGGCTTAACGCGTCCACGCAAGAAGCTGACCAAAAATCCCAGGAAGAAGTATAAGGTATTTGATTGAAATAGTTGACTGTGTGTTTTTACACATGTAATAAAGGAAATAATACTTGTATATATTGACAGCATATTCAACTGCATCACTAACAATTTCTCTCTCTCTCTCTCTGTCTCTCTCTCTCTCTCTCTCTCAGTTGAAGCACCATAAGATGGAAGTACGCAGAAAGGGGCAGGTTCGTGAGGTGAGGAAACCCACAGGACCTTACGGTGGGGAAGCATCGGGTATTAATGCAAACGTCAGCCGCAGTAGAAGGCTAAATTGCTAGACCCCCAATTTATTTAAAATCGTGTCTTCCACCTTGAAGTATTAAGTCGTTATAGGTTGTCTTCACCATTTTACAAGCATTCCGTTTCTACTGCTGCTAGATTTAATTCATTGAAATTCTATCCAACAAAACGGAAGAATTATAAATCTCCAAAATAATAGATAGAATTGTCTTTTGTCCTTTATCCAAGTTTACTAATTCAAAAGTTTATCAGAAGCCTGGTCCAAAATTCTTGTTGCCGATTTTGACAATGGGACTGGCCTCAGAATATTTTATAATTTGTGGTTAGGGTATAAATGAATCAAAAGAAAGATGAGAGTTAGTGATGAGAGGATTGTTTGGAATTTTTTCTGACTTTTAAGATATCAAGTTCGGTTGAATCTTGATCAGTGACTATTTTTCGTTTGAATTAACTGATTTTGTTTTTCATATTATCTATTAATATAGTGTACTTGAGCTGACTTCAGAAGATTATATTCTTACCAATTTACCTTGGTCTACAGCAGAACTTCGCAAATTTACTATACTTTAAATTAATCTATTACTATATATTACTATATAATACAGTTAAGAAAAAAAGTTTTGAAAAGATACATAAAGTTCATTTCATTTTTCCGCTCAAATGTTTAATTTCCCTCTCAAATTTTATTTAAAATATTTGGCTAACGTTTTATATGGTAATAGATTTTATATGTGAATCTTTTGAAATCTATACATATATTTATGGATTTATTTTCTCTTTCATAATGATTCCGTTCCTCTTTATATATATACCGATTTTTTGTTTCTATTTATCCTTCATCACATCTAAGAATTTTTGAAAACGTGTATAATAGAATTTAAAAGATTAGTTATAGATATAGGGTGGTACTATTTATCACCCCTTTTTACTACTCACCGCCCTCTTTGGACGATTTTGCCCTTTTCATTTTTCTAAACATCTCAGAGGAAAGTGTAAGGTGAAATGTCGTCAAATTCGGAGGTACGAAAATTTTTGTGTCCGACTGCCGGAACTGGACGGCTTTTAATCCGTCCGATCGCCGGAACCGGACGGTTCAGACGGGTTAAAAGCCGTCCGAAAAGTTCGGCCGGTTGGACGGGCTATGTCCGAATCGGTCGGCCGGACGCTTTAAAAGCTGTCCGGCGGCGACGGCCGGTCGGAACCGGTCCGTCCGGTTCGGCCGGCCGGACAATTTTTTTTTTTTTTTTTTTTTTTTTTTTTTTTTTAAATTATTATGTTATATATTCAAAATAATTATGTTATAAATTGGACTATATTATTATGTTATAAATTATTATGTTACATTTTAGACTTGATTATGTTACAAATTGGAGGTTAAAGATTATCGTGTTAGGAGTTACAAGTTATTATGTTACATGTTGATTATGCTATAAATTGGACGTTAGATATTATCGTGTTACGAGTTAGAAATTATTATATTACATGTTAGTCTTGGTTATGTTATAAATTGACGTTAAATAGTATCGTGTTAGGAGTTACAAACTATTATGGTACATGTTATAGTTGATTATATTATAAATTGGACATTAGATATTATCGTGATCGTGTTAGGAGTTACAAATTATTGTGTTACATGTTAGACTTCATTATGCTATAAATTGGACGTTAGATAATATCATATTATGAGTTATAAATTATTATGTTACATGTTAGAATTAATTATCCTAATTTAACATGTTCTAAAAATATAAATATTGTATTATATAGCAGGAGTCATGAGAAGATTTTGGAGGAGATGGTGTTGATTACAGTCTGGGTTTTTATACCTGTAAATTATTTAATAGTGCTCAGGACGCTATTGAAGCGGCAAAACACCAGAAATGCTGAATGGTTTCCTATTAATAATTTCGAGCCACAAAAAGAAAACGATCAGACTTTTGAAGCGCCATAGAGGCGAACGCTACAGAGGCACATGCGGAAATTCCAGAAAGACAAAAACGAATAAGTGCGGCTGCGATTTTGAGATCAAAGTAAAAAAGGTGCCCGGCGCTCCATACTGGAGGATCTGTAGATGTAGCAATGAAGAGAAGGGCCACCATAACCATACATTTGCTGTGTATCCTGAGGGTCATCGCCACTTGAGCGGCCTCAGCGCTTCATCTAAGAAAATTGTTCGTGATATGACGGACGCTCAGGTGGCCCCGACAAAATTATGGCCGCGCTCAAGGAAAAGAATCCGGGAGACAACATTCATGTGCGACAGGTATATATATTTATATCTTGTAATATATGTTTTAATTAACTTTTTGAAGTTAATTATGATAATTAGTAATTTTTTATATGTAAAAGTTATTGTAATAATTAATAAATTTTATTATATTTACTAATGTATTATTATAATGATAGTTAATAATTTTTTTTGTCAAATTAATCGCATTAATATACTTTTTTATTTATTAATATAATATATTTTTTTTAAAATTATAATTCATTATTATTAATGCTAATCGGTGACAGGTATATAACTTTAGAGATAAGCTACGGAAAGAGCGTTTCGACGGTAGAGACGTTCCTTCCCAGCTTATGCATTTGGCCGTGAGCAGCGAGTATACAGTTTATGCAGAATCCGATCCGAACACGAAAGCGTTGACGCATATATTCATGGCCCATCCTGCGTCGATCAATCTATTCCGGACATATCACTGGTATGTCGGCATAGATTCCACGTATAAAACCAACATGTATGTTACTTTATAAATACTTTATTAGTATAAATCTTAAATAGTGTGTTTGATTAAGTTAACTTTTATTTGATTATATTTTTTGTCTTCTTGGTCTCATTTGCACAAGTACAAGATGCCGTTGGTCGAGATGATTGGGATGACGCCGTGCAACCAGAACTTCCTAATTGCGTATGCGCTCATCAGGGACGAGAAAGAGGCCAGTTACGACTGGGTTCTAGAGAAGTTGAGACTACTGATAGGCCAAGACGTATATCCTTATGTTGTTGTCAGTGACAGAGAGTTGGGTTTAATCACTCCTATTCAGAGGCATTTTCCTGAATCAGCCCACTTACTCTGCACGTGGCACATCAACAAGGATGTGAAAGACAAAGCCTACAAACTATTTGGGAAGAGTAAAAAATTCTCGGAGATTTTCACGCACCGTACGTGGAAGGCGATTGCAGAGGCCAGTACGTTTGATGCCTACACCCATGCCGTTGCCGAGCTGCACGCAAAATATTCAATGTCTCTAGAGGTGATGCGGTATGTGGAGAGCACATGGTTAGGGCACAAGGAGAAGTTTGTGAAGGCTTGGACCAACCAAGTGACACATTTTGGAAACACAACTTCCTGTAGGGTGGAGAGTGCCCACTATGCGTTGAAGGAGTGGCTTCACACGTCCACCGGCGCGCTCGATACAATTTGGCAGAAGATTAATAAGCACATCGATCATCAAGTGACTGAAATCAAGTACGTACTACAATTTTTAAATGCGTTATTATATTACTGCATTAATTAATTATAATCTAATGTTATGTAACGTATTATCAGGTCGGCGCTTGAGGCCTCGAGATCTAAGAAGAATACACGGTATAAGGGAATCCTTTTCGCGAGCGTGATACTGAGGGTCTCGCATTACTGTCTGAGTTTATTGGACGCTGAACTTACGAGGATGCACGGCTTGGACGCCGATGTTTACGCTAGCTGCGGCTATGTATTGCAGTTCACTCATGAACTTCCTTGTGCCTGTCTGCTCCGTACCGCAGTTGATTCCAAAATTCCGATTGATCTCAGAATGATTCACCAGTTCTGGAGAACGCTACAGATGTTAGAGCTAGGTAATTTAAGATTAATGTTTTATTTATAATTTTCTACTTGCTGTTTCATTTTCAATTACAATTTATGTAATTAAAGTACATTATTTGATTTAATTCATTGACTTTTTTATCGTATACTTGTAGGGACTGGTCATCAGAGCCAGGCGAGCCAGGCTGCATGGTTAGATGCGGAGTTCTTTCAGACGCTTGTGAGTGAGGTTGAAACCCGCGATCCCGCGACGATGCGGTACGTGAATCAGTTCATGTACAATCATCTTTACCCAGACCAACAGGATTATGCGGAACCTGAGGTTAAGGATAACCCGCGAGGTCGTCCCAAGAAAACTAATTCAACTAAGCGTAAGCCATCTGCTTTTGAGTACAACGATAGATCGCGAGGTTGGAATTTGAGCCGTACGACTACTTCTTCGCGTGGACAGACAAGTTCGTCTTCTCAACAGTCACAAGGGGAAGCAGGTCATACATTTTTGTCTTGTAAATATGGCTGAGCGTTAATTAAAGTATTTATATGATTATATAAATTGTGACGTGAAATTATTATGATATTGCAGAGTTTAGGCCGACAAATATATTTGAATTTTTAATGTGGCAAAATATCCCCTGGCATATGTTGGACTACATAGTGAGTTACCTGAATGTGGATGCGGATGGTAACTGCGGATTTCGGGTCATCGCGAGTCACGTGTATGGTCACCAGAAGTACTGGGCAGATGCAAGAGACAACATTGCGAAGGAGGTCGACAGCCACCGTGAATTGTACGAGTACATCTATTTTAGAGATATCGACACCGGACTTCGTCGCGTAAGGTGGGGCAAGGGCCCTTGTGGACGGGCTCTCTGGTTTGAAGTTCCGCAGGACCTCTACGCCGTTGCGACCCTATTTAATGCGGTTGTCGTTCTGTTGGGCTCTGGTCCGCAAGGTGGGCAGCACGACTTATTCAGCATCACAGTGTTGCCTCTCATTGCACGATCATCGGCTAGAGGACCATGTCGTGAGATTGTCATGTGCCATCTTGGTACCGTAGAACACTACATTCGTTTAGATTTAACTCATGATTGTCCATTACCGCCTATTCATTCCATGTGGTTCCGTTACCGAGATCGATCGGTTGTGGGTTGGGAGGATCAGTACGAGGCTAGGTTGCGATTGTGGTTTACTATTAAAAAAAACCTTGTTGAATAAAAGAACGATATTATTCACTTGTGGTATGACGCTTCTCATTCAACTTAAGTTTAGCAAATAAAAAAAATGAATCAGTTCAACTTAAGTTTAGCAAAAAAAAAAAAAAAAAAAAACCATTCAACTTAATGATTTACAATAAGAAAAAAAAAATCTCATTCAACTTAAGTTTAGCAAAAAAAAACATTAATTTGAATGATTTATGTACTAAAAATGACAAAAAAAGTACCGTTAATGCGATTTTGATTGCCCTGTAACACGAACGTATGTTCCTGCGCTCGAGACAAGCTCGTTCTCCTGAGTCGACCCATCGGGACTCTCAGGAGAACGAGCCTGTCTTGAAGCGCAGGAACATACGTTCATGTTACAGGGCAATCGAAAATCGCATTAATGGTACTTTTTTTTCATTTTTAATATAAACCATTCAACTTAATGTTTTACAAATAATAAATAAAAAAAATCATTCAACTTAATG